TGCCCACCTAAATTGAATTAGCATAGTTCTGGGTGTAGCTGAATGGATTTAGTGAAGATAGAAGACTCACCCTGAGTGTAAGTGGCATTGACCAACTGGCAACTGCAAGGGCCTGAGTTCAATCCCTGGTTCCACCAAAACAAAACAAAACAAAACAAAACAAAACAAAACAAAACAAAACATAACCATTTTCGTGGGTCTTACCTGAACTGTTTCCTTTCCAACAACCACATCTCTCCCCTACGTAGTATCACCAGGACTTCCACAAATGTCCCAGGGACCACACAGAGAAAACAGCAGAGCAAACAGCACACCCACAAACAACGAAGGAGAAATCTCAGGAGATTGAAGCTCATAGAGCTCCAGGCCACCTGAGAGCCTGCCATTCTGGTGGCCTTCAGAGCCTTGCTCACAGCTTTATATATGTACCTGTAAGCAGATATTCAGGATCACGGAGCCCATGACATAGAAAGAGGGGAAGTTGATGCGCAGCTGCCACGCCAGCTCGAAGAAGGTGAGGAGAGTACAGGATAGCCCTTTGCAAAAGACCCCATATGAGGAGGGGTCGGTCTCATATGGAATTCAATGGCTGTATATTGCATATTGTTGTCTTCAGAGTATTACCAGATATAAGCATGCAAGATTTTATTTAAAGATTAAAAAGAAATACAAGCATTAACTGTTCCTTTCAGTAGACTAGTAGAAATCAGCTTTACACTTTTCCAAGCTATCCTGTATATATACAAATATATTATTTGTTCCTTTTTTTCTTTTTCTTTTCCTTCATCCCAGTTGTTCCTTCCTTTTGAACCATTTCTTTCCCTTTCACAGTATCTATTTGTACCATTCAGATTTTATTTACTCTCAAGTTCTTATTCTGGGGAGACAATAGATATTTACACATTGGTCTGATTTATTTCACTTGTGGTGAAATATATGGTCTCTTGCCATTTACCTATGAAGCTTAAGTTTCTTTTTTTTTTTAATGGCTGAATAATACTCCATTGTATAAAAACACTACACTTTTTTTTTATCCATTTCTCATTTGATGGGCATCTGGATTGTTTCCAAGATTTAGCTATGACAAATTACACTGCTACAAACATGAGTGAACATATATAACTGTGGTATGATGTTTTCAGTTCTTCTGGAAAAATACCCAGGAGGCAGATAGCTAAATTGAACGAGACCCTCTAATCTTAGTGTTTGGAGGAATCTCCACACTGATTTCCATAGTTGTTATACCAGTGTGTACTCCCACCAACAATGGAGAAGGATTCGTTTTTTCCCCCACAGCTTCTCTAGCATTTGTTATTAGTTCATTCTTGACGATAGCCATACTTTCTGGGGTGAGATAGAATGTAGTCTTGTTTTAATTTGCATTTCTTGAATGACCAATGGTGTTGAACATGTTTTCATGTATTTATTTGCCATTTGTATTTCATTTGTGAAATGTGCATTCATCTCAGATACCCATTTTGTGTGTGTGTGTGTGTGTGTGTGTGTGTGTCTTTGAGTATTAGGGGCCTGATTTTTTAAATTCTTTATATATTCTAGAGAGAAATACTTTGTCTGCTGAGGGACAGCCAGCCAAATTTTTCCCACCAGTTCCTGAGTTTCCTTTTTATTCTGTTTGTGATGGTTTTTGCTGTGCAAAAACTGTTTAGTAAGATGAGATACCAGTTATTGATTCTTCGAAATATTTCCCATGCACTTTGGTTTTGTTCATGAACTCTGCCTACCTGCATGTTTTCAAGATTTCTACCTACTTTCTTCTCTAGTAGATTTAGTTGTTTCTAGTTTAATATTTAGATCTTTGGCCCATTTTGACTTTAGTGCACGGTCTGCTACAGGTTCTTAGATGGGAAAATAGTATGTGTGATTAAAGAGTGATAATGGTTGAAAATATATGGAAAATGAGGTTAGTTTCTGGGGAGCAAGTGGCCGCTGCGGGACACACAGATCTGAGTTCAGAGGCCGCTTTACCCTCGGGTCCTGGCTGTGATATGAGGCTACAGAGGCTGCAGTGATTTTTGGCTTCAGACGCTGGGCGGGTGGTGATGGCTGCTCCATGGCCCCTGCTGTCGCTCCATCCTCCCTGACCATCAAGGCCTCAAGCCCTGCAGCAACCCACCTATAATGGAGTATTATTTGGCTGTTAAAAAAAAAACCCTTGAGGCTTTTATAGGTAAATAGCTGCAAGAGACCATATATTTCACCACAAGTGAAATAAATCAGACCAATGTGTAAGTAACTATTGTCTCCCCAGAATAAAAACTTGAGAGTAAATAAAATCTGAATGGTACAAATAGATACTGTGAAAGGGAAAGAAATGGTTCAAAAGGAAGGAACAACTGGGATGAAGGAAAAGAAAAAGAAAAAAAGGAACAAATAATATATTTGTATATATACAGGATAGCTTGGAAAAGTGTAAAGCTGATTTCTACTAGTCTACTGAAAGGAACAGTTAATGCTTGTATTTCTTTTTAATCTTTAAATAAAATCTTGCATGCTTATATCTGGTAATACTCTGAAGACAACAATATGCAATATACAGCCATTGAATTCCATATGAGACCGACCCCTCCTCATATGGGGTCTTTTGCAAAGGGCTATCCTGTACTCTCCTCACCTTCTTCGAGCTGGCGTGGCAGCTGCGCATCAACTTCCCCTCTTTCTATGTCATGGGCTCCGTGATCCTGAATATCTGCTTACAGGTACATATATAAAGCTGTGAGCAAGGCTCTGAAGGCCACCAGAATGGCAGGCTCTCAGGTGGCCTGGAGCTCTATGAGCTTCAATCTCCTGAGATTTCTCCTTCGTTGTTTGTGGGTGTGCTGTTTGCTCTGCTGTTTTCTCTGTGTGGTCCCTGGGACATTTGTGGAAGTCCTGGTGATACTACGTAGGGGAGAGATGTGGTTGTTGGAAAGGAAACAGTTCAGGTAAGACCCACGAAAATGGTTATGTTTTGTTTTGTTTTGTTTTGTTTTGTTTTGTTTTGTTTTGTTTTGGTGGAACCAGGGATTGAACTCAGGCCCTTGCAGTTGCCAGTTGGTCAATGCCACTTACACTCAGGGTGAGTCTTCTATCTTCACTAAATCCATTCAGCTACACCCAGAACTATGCTAATTCAATTTAGGTGGGCATTTCTTACTCAAATTGATATAGTTAACTGTCACAGCCAGGTTAGGGCCAAGTTTGCAATCCTCCTGCCTCCTGCACTCCTGGGAAGTGCTTATTCCACTGAGCCATCTTCCCGGCCCCTAAGTTATGTATCTTTAAAATGAACTCCATCAGACAGATTTCGGGACAAGAGAAAGTACACAGATTGCATTATAAAAAAGAAAGTCCAAATTTTTCATTAAAAAAATTAAATGAACAACAAACTTACAGTATAAATTGAAATCAAGCAGTAAATGAAGTTGTGAAATACTGGACTGGATTGTAAACTACATGCTGAATAAGAAACCCATGGTATTAAGGGCATGAGGTGGAAGTCACGTATTTCTTCACCCCACAAGAAAAAATATTGGAATTCCCAGTAAAAAACAAATCTATACAGGAAACACATCTTCCAAATACTGGACCTGAGGCGCTGCAAGATTTTGAACAAAGAAGTGTATGAAAATGATGTCTGTGAACAGCGCTTGGATTAGGGACCAGAGAAAAAGAAATGTAGTCATCGTGTAAAATTTAGATATTCTGTGAATAACATTTAAATAATAATTATTATTTTTTAATTTTTTAAATCTTTTATTTTTTTATTCATTTAGTACATGGCACACAGCAATACTCCTGTCTTGCCTTCCCAGTCCTGGGATTCCAGGCAGATGCCCCCACTCTAGGTGTTGGGGCCTGCAAGTCGTGCCCAGGGTTCTGGGCAGGCATGACATGTGGTACCAGAGACTGAACTTGGTTGCTTGCCCTTGCCAGGCAGGGGCTTAGACTGCTAAACTACCTCCCCAGCCCCTGAAACAGGGTTTTTATAAGGAGAAAGACCCTGGAGGAGGACTCCCTCACACCAGACTGGGTAGACTGGGTCTTTCCTTCCCCCTTCACCTTCTGCCTGCTGACATTTAAATAATTATAATGAAAATGTTACATATGGTTTTCATCTTTAAAGGAATACTAAATCATGGCTACAAAATAGAATGTAAATGTGTTAGCCTTGATGTACAAATATATGTAAATGAGACAATGTTGGAAAAGGGAGAAAAAGGTAAATAAAATGGTTGTAATGTTCTTAAAAGTGTCAGATTGAAGGAGCAATCTGTTGTGGAGGAAAAACAAAATATTAGCTATAGAGTTTCTAAAACAGTGATATGACTATATTAAAGGGGAAACTTAAGGGAGACAAGTATGAAGTCAACAGAAAATGCTGGAAGATGGAAAGTTCCGTTTCAAAAATAACTGTTAAAAAAGACACTTGTTATATATGAATATATTGGAGATTTTCTGTTTTTCAAAGTCTGTGAATGAATTAGGAATCTTCAGATTTTTCAAATTTAAGAAAACAAAACTTTGATAATAAACACCAGAAAAAATTAAAAAAGATAGATTCTGTTGTTTTTTTAAGAACCAGAAGCATGGTTCTCCATATACTGACACATAGAGCATCCTTAAGTAAATGCAAAGGAATTTAAATTATGCCATGCATACTATCTTACCACAGTACAATGATACTTGAAATTATTGACAATAGAAACTACAAAAACACCATAAACACATGGAAGTTAAATAACAGTGTCCTAAACTACCAGTGGCTCACAGATGAAATTAAAGAAGAAATTAAAAAATATTTACAATCAAATGAAAATGCAGATACAACTTAGTGAAACCTGTGGGATACAATGAAAGCTATCCTAAGAAGAAAATTTATAGCTCTAAATTTGCACATTAGGAAGACAAAACAAGTTCAAGTAAACAGTCTTAAAGCTGCATCTCAAGCTCCTAGAAAAAGAAGAGCAAGTCAAGGCCAAAGCCCAAAGAAGGGAGGAAATTATAAACATTAGAGCAAAAAATTAATTGAGACAAAACAATACAAAGAATGAATGAATCAAAGAGTTCATTCTTTGTGGGGCTGGAGAGATGGCTCAGTGGTCTAAAGCACCTACTTAGAACAAGCTTGGCAAAGCATCAGGGACCGCGGTTCAATCCCCCAGCACCACATGCCAGCCAGCCCCGCCCCCTGGTGGGCTGAGCTGGCCACACACACACACCACACTCTCTCTCTCTCTCTCTCTCTCTCTCTCTCTCTCTCTAATAAATAAATTAAAAAAAAAATTAAAAAAAAAAAGAGTTCATTCTTTGAAAAAGTAAATAAAATAGGTAAACCAACCTCTAGCCAATCTCCTTTTAAAAAGGGAGAAAACCCAAATTAATGCAATAAGAAATGGAAAGGGCCAAAAAACTGCACACCCATGAGAAATTGAGAAGATTATCAACACCTACTTCCAAAGTCTTTACTCTCACAAGATGGAAAACAAAGGAAATGGACAGTTTCCTGGGTATATGTGAAGTGCCAGAGTTGAGTCAAGAAGATATACAAACTCTGAGTAACCCAATAATGGGAAATGAAGTTGAAAAAGTGTAATAATCTACCAACAAAGAAAAGCTCAGGTCCTAATGGATTCACAACTGAATTCTATGAAAAATTTAGAGAAAATTTAATGCCAACTTTTCTCAAACTCTTCAATAAAATTGAGAGGGAAGAAATCTCCCACACTTATTCCTGGAGGCAAGTATTACTCTGATTCCAAAACTAGAGAAAGATCCAACTAAAAAAAGAGAACTATAGGCAAATCTCTGCATGTAGACGCAAAAATCCTCAACAAAATAGTAGGAAACATAATACAGCAAATCATCAAGATTATGCATCACTACCAAGTGGGATTCATCCCAGGAGTGAAGGAATGGTTAAACATATGCAAATCCATAAACGTAATACACCACATCATTAGAACCAAAACCAAAAACTGTGTGATCATTTCAATAGATGCAGAAAAAGGTTTTGACAAAGTCCAACACCCACTTAGGATAAAAACTCCGTAGAAATTGGATTAGTCTATATCTCAACCTGATAAAAGCTATCTATAAGAAACCAACAGCCAACATGGGCAAAAACTGAAGGCCTTCACTTTAAAATCAGGAACAAGTCCACCGTCTCTACTCCTACTTCAATATAGTTCTGGAAACATTAGCCAGAGGAATTAGATAAGGAAGAAATAAAAGGAATAAGTATTGGAAAAGAAGTGAAATTATTATTTGCAGATCACATAATTACATAGAGAACACCCAAAATTCCACCAACAGTCTTGTAGATTTAATCACCAATTTCAGTAACGTAGCAAAATGCAAAGTTAAAACCCAAAGACAGCAGCATTTTTGTACACAGTGAATGCAATGAGAGAAACTTTAGGCAAACCACACCTTTCACAAAAGCATCCCTTCCCCCCCCCACACTCACAAAAATACTTAGGAACCATTGTCACAAAGGAAGTAAAAGATTTATACAGTGAAAATTATAGTACTCTGAGAAAAAAGATTGAAGAGGATTTGAAAAAATGGAAATGTTCCATGCTTCTGGATAGGAAGATCCAACATTGTGAAAATGGCCATATTCCCAGAATTGTTCTGCAGATTCAATGCAATTACTATTAAAGTATCATTAGTATACCTCACACAGCTAGAGAAAATTTTCCTCAAATTCATTTGGAACCAGAAAAGATCTAGAATATCAAAAGCAATCATGGGAAACAAAGGAAGGTCAGAAAGTATCACAGTCTCTGACCTGAAATTATACCATAAAGCTACTGTGATAAAATCAGCATGGTTGCACAGGGACCGCGGTTCGATCCTCCAGCACCACATGCCAGCCAGCCTCGCCCCCTGGTGGGCTGAGCTGGCCACACACACACACAATAAATGTAATAAATAAAAATAAATATTTATAAAATCAGCATGGTACTGGCGTAGAAACAGACCTGAGGCTCAGTGGAACAGATTAGAAGATGCAGACACAACTGCAGATATACTCAGGCACGTTATCTTTGATAAAGGAGCCAGACATGTTCACTAGAAGAGAGCCTCTTTAATAAATGGTACTCTTTAATAAATGGAAAAATTGGCTTTCCACATGCCAAAGGCTAAAACTAGACCCATGCATATCACCATGCACAAAACTACTGTCAAAATGGATCAAAGATTTAAATATTAAAACAGAAACACTAAATATTCTTGAAAGTGGAGGTAGAAATCATAAAGACATGGGGTAGGTAGAGAGTTCATGAACAAAAACCAAACTACATGGGAAATACTTCAAAGAATCAACAATTGGAATATTGTCTCTTTGAAGTTTCTGCACTGCAAAGGAAATCTCCAACAGAGTGAAAAGTAAACCCACAAACTGGGAAAAAAATTATAGCTGGCTATCCTCCTAACAAAGGTCTTCTATCTAGAACATACAGAGAATTAAAAAAAAAGCCAGGGCCCCCAAATTCAAAGACTCAATAAAAAAATGGACATCTGAGGTGAATATACATTTTTCAGATGAAATACAAATGGCAAATAAATAAATGAAAACATGTTCACTATCATTGGGTATTTGAGAAAGGCAAATTAAATCAACGCTGAGATTCCATATCATCCCAGAAAGAATGACTAGCGTCAAGTCAGCCAATAGCAAATGCTAGAGGGGCTGTGGAGAAAAAGGAACCCTTCTCCACTGTTA